GAAATGTACATTAATTTTCATTTTTTCTTTTTCCATTTCATTCTCAAAATATTATCGAAATTTACCTAGATCATTTTTTAGGCTAATTTCAGATGGTGGTTCTGAATCCATTGGCACGTTAATTAACGTATAGCACACGTTCTCAGCAGCCGTCATGGTTCTCAGTTATAAACAACCCTCCACACAAGATCTAAGGATGACAGATGCCAGAAAATCTAGAAAAATAGATACAGAGATAGCATTACAAGTTTTTTTTAAAAAACTACAAACCAGTAACTATAGTGATATCTTCAAAGTATTAGAAGGGGAGGGTCAATCTACATTGTGTTCCCATAAAAATACATTCTAATAGAAAACACACTTGTCAGCCCCGGCCTAAGATATATTATCTCTCACTCCACCATCCACCTCCCCTGTCCAGCGTTTGAATTAAGGCCCACCAAAAAGTGACAGTCCCCCAGCCCCACCACGCAATGTTATGGAACAGTGATTTTTAACATAACGCACACAATCTGAACTTTTTAAGTTAAAAGACCCTGTGCGTCAATACTCTGCCAAAACCTCACAGCGCTTTATTGCGGTCAACAGTCGGTCCCGACTCTGTGTCCAAGGCTCCCTTAACCGGTGCGCCGCAGCACTACCTCGTCCCTCCCGTTTCCCGCTCTCCTTTCTCCAGCAAAGCAGGGCCCAGCCTGAAAGGGCAAGCCCCGGGGGCTCGGGAGGGAGAAGACCCCTGGCCAGTACGCAGCCCGAGGCGGGGCGTCCGGCCCAGCGCTCCCCAGCCCCCCACCCCCACCCGTTCCCCTTTGCCAGGCCCAGACGCCAGCGGCCTAGTCGCTCCTTTCCCCATCTTCCCGCTGGCGAGCCAGTTCCTCCGATTCCGCCTGGCCCACCGCGACTCCAACACTGGGGGCTTGTGGCCCGCTACCTGGCTCCGAGCGGCAGCGGCTGGGACAACCGCAGAACCCTTCAACCCAGCTCCAATCCGCGGCAGCAGCAGTGGCGGCCGAGCAGAGTCCTCGGCTGACGTGGAAAGGGGTGGGGAGACGAGCGTAGCCACAGCCATCTAGCACCTACGGCGCCTCAGAAAGGACATTCCTTCTCCGTCCAGCAGTTGCGCTCTGAGACTGTGTCTTATTTTCTTCCTCTTCTCTAGTCCACGATTGGTGCAGAGCAGAGTGAAAGCACCTATTTTATAGTTTTCCCTACAAGCCAAGCGCTGAATTAAGCGCCGTGGCCATTTAAACGCTGTTTGGAAATTGTTTCTTCTTCCAGGAACTAAAATAGTCAAGGAGAGGAAGTGCTTGGAGAGAGGGAAAATCTTTTTAAAGGGCTGTGTAGTCTCTTGGAAAAGAGCTCTGGACTTGGAGCTAGGAGACTCTTTTCTTGCATACCCACTGATAAACTGGGCAAGTAACTAGTAGTATTGGGAAAGTAATTTTAGTTATTTTGATAATGCCTACTAGGTTATATTAGGATGCATTTCAGTTCTTAACCTCTCTAGTAGTCTGATTCTGCCTCTCTGCAGTAGGCTTGGAGTTGATTGAACATCTAAAGTCACATTGGTATAATTTCTGCTTTTTAGTAATGGGCTGCCTCTTTCTTGATCCTTTCTGAACAGCCATATTTTTAAAAAATTTTATGCACAAAGGGAGACAATCACTGTTTTAAAGGATTTTACCTATTTCCTAAGACCTACTTGTTACAGCTGTAATCAGCCATAGTACCTTCAATTTTGTCCACTTGAAGTTCTATATGCTCCTGCTCCAGCGCACCCTCCCATCCCCGCCAAAGAAAAAGGTTCTCTGGTCAATTATTAATAACAAAACATTTGAAAGCTTAAGCAAAATATTGTGGATACAAAGAGATCTGACAACATACCCTTATTAACAGGTTCACCTCAGGGAGATAAAACACAAATAGTGCCTTGTCTATCTAGAATCCAAGTATTTTGAGATTGCTCCTTTTTAGAACTATCAAGAAAAATATACATTCTTTGTGCATCCAAAATACATCACAAAGGCCATGTGTTTAGCACTTTAAGAGTGCCCCTCTGATCCTGTGCATTCATTAAAAAAAACAAAAACTTTTTAGCTTGAGCTAATGTAGAGTGACATGAATACAGAGATCTCATATACTCACCACCCAGTTTTTCCCAATGGTACGGTCTTTCATAATTATAGTACAATATCAAATTCAGGAAATTAGCAGATACAATTAGATTTACCCATTCTTAGTCATATTTCATCAGTTGTGTATTTAGTTCTAGACAATCTTATCATGCTTAGATTTGTGTGATCACCAACACAGCCAAGACACAGAACAGTTCCATAACAAGAATCCCACCTTTTATATAGCCCACAGCCACTTCCTTCCCTAGCCCTGGCAACCACTGATCTGTTCCCTACCTCTATAATTTTATCATTTCAATGTTATATTAATGGAATGATACAATGTAATCTTTAAGATAGGCTTTTTTTACTCAGCGTAATTCCCCGTGAGATCAATCCAAGATATGTGCGCAAGTTTGTTGCTTTTCTGTGTATTCATTTTTAACATGGAATTTTCACAAATGTAGTTATCTGGTTTCCAAGTCCACTTAACTTATCAAGAAGTGACAATCTATCAGCAAGAAATGAGGCCAGATATCATGGAGACAAGAGAGTAGCATGACAATTACCAGAGGCTGAGAAGGGTGGGGTTGAGGAGATAAAGTGGGGATGGTATAAAAATATAGTTAGATAGAATGAATAATATTTGATAGTACAACAATGTGTCTATAATCAACAATAAGTTAGGGTATACTTTAAAATAACTAAGAGTGGAATTGGAATGTTCCTAACACAAAGAAATGTTAAATGCCTGAGGTGATAGATACCCCAATTACCCTGATTTGATTCACATTGTATGCAGCTGTCAAAACATCACACGTACCCTATAAAGATATACTATTATGTACCCATAATTAAATATGGAAAGGCAAGAAAATGTAACATTTTACGTATTACCTCATTTTAGGTCTACACCTAAAATTGTCATTGGCAGTTTATATATTGTTGCATATTTTTAAATAGAGCTTTTTGAACATGTATCAGGACCTTGTATAACCTTACCAATTCTTTCTGACCTGTTACAAAAAACACTTTGTTTTGGTACACTTTAGTGTGTATTATATCATTTTGAATACTTTTTTAATTATGTAAGTTGAGAGCAAAGACCTTATCACGTATCAAGAATCATAAAAATTTAGGTGTCTAGGAAATCAAAGCCTAGAGAGAATGGACTTGCCCCAAATCATGTAATGGTCAAACACTAAATGAGCTAGGACTACAACCCAAATCCTGTCATTTACCATACTACTTTTTATTTTTAACCATGCCAGTTCTCCAGAGCTGCACATACAGAAGCTCAATAAACTCTAAGTGAATTAAGTATTATCTTTATATCAAAGTGATAGGCTTTATGTGACATTATAGGAATTTTACTATTGATAATTGTTCAACACATCCTAAATAGAATAAATGAATATAACAGTTCAAACATGAAAATGTATCACAATGAACTCTGTACGTACAGTGGGGTTAAGTCTTATGGGATAAGGAGTATTTTAAATTCTAAAGTCAGAGTATAAGAATAAAATCACATATTGGAAAAATTACTAAAATTGTCCCCAAAGTACCATACAGATTACTATTTTTTTTCCAACTAAGTACAAGCTAACTAGTGGTTTGCATTTGGGAACAGGTAAAAAAAAGATCACACACTATCTTTACCTTTAAATGACAGAATCACTCAGCAAAGACAGGGTCACCCAATGAAAGGGACAGGGGAAGACAGACCTACCTAAGCAAAAAGCAGATTATGCAATTTCCCAATTATGCTCCCATAACAAACGATATACCCATTGAGAGTGAAGGCAGGTGGGAAGTCCCTCTGTTTACTGTTTTGTATGTGTGAAAGTTACATGTGCTTGATGCAACTCTATCATAGATCAAATAGCCACGTGATACTTATGTCCAACTGCCAAGTTTCAATGGCAGATTCTTGGGGCTACTTCTGGAGTACAGACTGACATCTCACACATTCTAGTACTTAGAAAACTTTCTCTCAACAAGGCTGCCAGTTTCTTTTACCACTCACAGATTTAAACCTAAGACTTTTTAAGATTTGGGAAACTCCTGGAGAAAAAAATTAAACTAACATTTTATGAATTTTAGAGTCTACAAGGTGTTATCACATACATTCTCCCATTTAACCTTCACAATAATTCTCCGGTTTTCCTTAAAGTAGGGCCAAATAACTCACCTAAAGCCAATAGCAGCTAATTAGAATTAAGTCTAAAATCAGGGTTACTGTCCATAAATGAATTTCTCTTTAGAAAGATACACTATCTCAGAAAGCAAAATAACTCCTCTATGTTTCAAAATAGCAATAAAATTTTGCATTATTGCTTTTTTTAAAATCGGATTTCCTCTCATTTTACATGGTCTAAGATAAAAATTGTTCTGCAATATCTAAGTATATCACTCATGGGGATAATGGAAGGTAGCCTAAAGATTATGCTGGGAGTAAGGTTGGGGAGGATAAAAGGTTTGAGATTACAATATGCCTTTTTTTGTTTTTGTTTTTTGCAGAAGTTCTCTACAGAAATCAGAGCTACAACTACTGCCATCTGCTGGCTGGAAACAAAAACATTCATATGATAATAATCTTGCTGTTAATACTTTTGTTGGGAAGTGGTGGTTTCTTCGGTTTTAATCAGAATTTCCACATTTGGACCCTGAAATTTGTATTCTGAACCAAATCTCCATGGATTATTATGTAGCCAGTCCATATACTGGAGAATTGTTATAAGGCCGTGTTAGATAAGTGGTATACATTTCTCCATCTCTAAAAATAAAGCAATTCAATTTGGCAAACATGGCAAATAACCAGTTGTAATCCCAGACTACAATTTATTATTTACAATTGAAGCTACTTAAAAAATAACCCAGTACAATAGGAGGTGAAATAATTTTATTTCACAGTTGTCTTTTAAACCACAAAGACACTATTTTCTTCATATAAAAACATTAGCACAGATACCTATACTTTCTAGAAAATGATACATATACCCTCTGAAAGAAAAATGAATCCCATTATATGGCATCAGTGAGGCTGCTTGGAAACAACTCACATCTGGACTGATTCCTAAACATACCATTCCACTACTCTGCAACTTTTGGTTCAAAGTATAGATTACTGTCATCAGTATGTGTTCCTGCATTCTTACATATTTGATAATGCACATATAGAATGGTTTATCACTTAATGTTCCATTGGCTCATCAGCCTTTTCTGCAGGTTCATCAGCAGGTTGAGCAGGCTTAAGAGGGAAAGAAAAAAGAAAATATGTAAAATAAACACTTTATCAACATACACTTCTAATCACAAATATTACATTATTAAAAAATTAATGAGAAAAAGGGGTTAGGAGATATTTTGGATATTCAATTTTAGTTCATTGTCTTGTTAATAATTTCTGAACAAAGGTTTTGTTTTTTTAGAAAAATACAGTTGATCCTTGAACACCATGAATTTGAACTGAATGGGTCCACCTATAGGCAGATTTTTTTAAATAAATATACTGGAAAATTTTTTGGAGACGTGACAACTTGAAAAAACTAGCAGATGAACCATGTAGCCTAGATATATCAAAAAAATTAAGAAAAAGGTATGTCATGAATGCATAAAATATATGTAGATACTTGTCTATATGTTAATTGTTTATGATATTGGTAAGGCTTCCAGTCAACAATAGGCTATTAGAAGTTTGAGGGGAGTTAAAAGTTATATATGGATTTTTGACAGCACAGGGGTCAGTGCCCCTAGTCCCGTTGTTCAAGGGTAATTGTATATATAATTTCAGTTCTGAAAACCTAAACATCTTTGAATAATTTTACCATTTTACCATTCTTTACCTTGCTCAATAGTAAAAGCCTTCCTTATATTATCACTATCACACTAAAATATAATCAGCACTTCTTAGACATTCTTTTTCCCTTTACCACCAATAAAATAGCAAAGATACAATCAAACAGCTGTGTTTGTGGCACTCCAACTCCATGGTATCCTTCCCAACAGTGGTAGTTCTTTCCAATAGTAGTTTCAATAATACAAATCTTGTTCCCCCCAACAGTGCCAACAATAACCTTTTCAATTTGAAAAAAACTCATCATGTAGAAGAAATTTCTGTACTACTTTTTAATCTGCAATTACACAGCTATCAAATAAACATCCACAGATAGCAAATGGGTATTCTATGCATCTAGCAAAAAGACCCATATTTAACCTGGGATTCACCAATATTTCTTGATGCTTTTCTTACTATTTGTAAAGAGCCATCTTAGTGTTCAAAGCTGGCCCCCAGTGAACCACTTCTCCCAATCCCCACTCATATAGAATCTGTGCTGGCCTTGTGACTTGCTTTAGCTGAAAGAATGTGTAAAAGTGATGCTGTGCCAGTTCTGGGTCTCAGCCTTAAGAATGCCTGGAAGCTTTCACTTCTGACTTTTGTAAGCTCTGAGTTGCCACCTTGCTAGAGAGACCCTGCTATAGAATAGACTCTGAGACTACATGGACAGAGGCTCTGTCATCCTAGCAGAGGTCCCAGCCTTCTAGCAGCTCGTCTAAAACATGCAGAAGGTGTGAATAAAGTCATCTTAGATGTCCCAGTCCCACCCCACATCTGACTGTAATGTTTGAGAGACCCCAAGTGAGACCAGCAAAAGAGCCATGTAGCCACAGAACTCAGGCACCCACAGAATTGTGAGACATGTTTGGTGTTTGAATTCATAGGTTTTGAGGTAGCTTATTACAATAACCCAATAATCAACTGTTCTCTCTTTTTGTGTTATGGAGATCACTGCCCCTCAATATTTTATTTTACTAAGTTCTTAATTTTCCTACTGTGATAGGAATTATGGGCCTATCTTAATAATTAAAGATAAAAATGATAGATTTACACACACAGTAGTGGAAGAAACAGCAGCTTATGATAGAACTAAAGCCTTTTATGCTATTAGATACCTGTGACTTTCTCTGTGGTCTTTCTTCTAGACCTTCCAGGAATGGAGACACATCATCATCATCATAGATTGTAAACTCCAAGTCTTTACCAACAATTCCAATGGAAACATTCTGAGGGGGAAAAGAGGGTAAAAATAAAAAATTGAAAAATTTTTTAGAAATAGATTTAGATATTTAGAAATCTAAATCTAAATAGAAATAGACTTTTAGAAATATTTTTTAGAAATAGAAAAATGCATACGAAAAAATACTGGCTGAAAGACGCAGAGTAAGAACTTAAATAGCACTTGAATAAGCCTTTAAAAACTACTTATGTGTGAGGGGAAAAAAAGAGAAGGAAATTGGTAGACCCTTGTCATTTGCAGATTTAATATTCACTTTTGATTATCATACTAACCCCAAACGTCTATGTCATCTAGAAACATTGTTCAAAAAAGATTATGCAGATTATAAAGTCTTCACATAGATATTAAATAATCATCTAATCACTTTAACAAAATGGCTTTATAATGCTGACTAATCTCACTTTATTTAATGATCATTAATCTCAAGTAGGCCTTAGTGGTTCCTGGATCATTCTAAACCACTTCCTACATCATTTGATCTCCCTTTCTCTTCCACAACTCCTTTTAACATTCTCCATTCTCCTTGCAGCTGAAAACCTTGTTCCTATTTCACTGAGAAATATAGGCAATTGGAAGAGAACTTTCACAAGCTCCCACTGTATCCACTCTTTCCTATATTTACGTCCCTAGATTCTTCCTTCTGTTACTATGAATGATTAGTCCAATTTCCTTTCTAAGGCCAATATTTCCACCTTAGTTAAAGGACATTGCACCAGCAAGTTTTTCTCATATTTCTCCTACATAAATGCTTCCCTTTACACTGGATTATTCTCTTAATCATGTAGCAAATATAATTTCTTCCATCCTAAAAAATAAAGTAACAAAAACCCCTCACAACATCCTCTTCCAGCCACCACTTCATTTGTCTGGACCCTCAACAGACAATCTCCACTGAAGAGCTATCTCCAGTCCTATTCTCATTCTTTCTTGATACCATTCCTATCAGGCTTTTTGCCCGACCATTCCATTCATTCCATTAAGATTGTATTGTCAAGTCCTCTGTGACAATATCATTGTAATCTAATGGTTAATTCTCAATCCACATCTTTCTTGATCTACTAGCAGTTTTTCAATCCCTCATCCTTGAAAGTTTCTCTTCATTTGCCTTCAAGGATGCCTCATTTCCTAAGTTTTCCACCTACCTCTTTAGCCATCTTTCTCAGTCTCTTTTGCTGATACCTACTCATTTCCCAATTGAAAAAACTTGGCCCAGTGCTCAAACCACTAGTCTAACTATTTGATTTCTTTAGGAATCTCATCCCGTCTAGACTCCAAATGCCATTTCTACACAAATACTCCAAAAGTTTAAAATCTAGGCTGGACCACTCTCCATGGAACACCAAGGAGTGCCAACAACTGCTTACTCTATATCACCAATTGGCCAAACAACAGGCATTTTAATTTTTACATGTTCAAAACTGCCTGATCTTCCCCCTAGCCCCTACTCCAAAACCTTCCTCTGATATTATCCATTTCAGTAGATCATAAATCTTTTCTTCTAGTTAATCAAGCCAAAAACATTGGAGACATTCCCACCCCCACCCCCCCATCATGCCCTACAACACATTTGTGAATAAACCTTTTTGGCTCTAATTTCAAAAGATATCCAAAACTGAACCACTTCTCATCATCTCTATCACTGTGCTCCAATCACCATCATCTCTCACCCCAATTACTATAATTGAAACTATTTCCACTCATGCTTTACTATAATCTGTTGTCAAAATGCCAACCAGAGTGATTCTCTTAAAACCTAAACCAAATTATGTTATTCCTTTGCTCAAATTCATTAACAACCCACTCAGAGTAAAATGCAAAGTATATGCAATGCTTATACACAATCTGTCCTCCATTACCTCTCTGGTTCCTTTTTTTCTCCTCTTCCTTGATTATTGACCCCCAAAACTTGCCCCTTTGCCTTGAATAATAAGTTCTGACCTTAGAACCTTTGCATTTGTATTCCCTAGAATAATCTTGCTGTAGACATCTGCATGGCTCACTCATCTCCTTTAGATCTTTTCCTCAAATTTCACTTTCTTGGTGAGGCCATCCTTGACCATCCTATTTTTGATTACACTTGCCACACTACCTACCTACATCCCAATTGGTTACTTTCTCCTCTTAACCTGTTTTATGTTTTACATAGCATTTATCATCTCCTAATGTACTATATAATTTACTAATGTGTATATTGTTTATCTCCCCCCACTTGAATGTATGTTCCATGAAGGTCAAGATGTTTGTTGTGTTTACAATATTCTCAATGCCTAGAAAGTGCTTGTACATGGTAGGTGCTCATTATATACATTTTTGTTAACTAAATTAACACAAAGGTATGCCTATCTGCTGGGAAAAAATGGACATTCTATATGAGACTTACTGGTTTTATTGCTTTATACCAAAATGAAATGTTTAAAAAATGACATTTCAAAATCAGATTCCTTAGTGAATAGCTTTAAGGGAGAGAATGAACCAAAACAACCATATCCTACTCCTCTTTTATTTACATTTATGTAATAAAGGATTAAACTGTAATGTTAATATATATAATTAGAAAACATGATATTTACCTTTGTAGTTAGGTCCTGCTCTGCAGGAAGTGTCTCTCTTAGGGCACGCAGACCATGTTTAACCAGTTCATTTAAATTGCCTATATGTAATAAATTAACAATTATTTCTCAGTTTCATTGCCATGCTAGGCTCCTTTTATTTATCAAGTCTACAGTCTGAAATTGTGGTTTTAGTTACCCACTAAACTTATGTCAATAAAAATAGACAAAAGTTTATTGGTTGGAATATCCCCTTCCCAGAGTTAAACCTAGTATTATCCTATAACACTTTGCTTTGAGTAATACTAATAAAACAATCATTTTCTCTGCATCCATGGAACTGCAAATATTTTCTCCATAAAATGCTCTAATGTCACAAGAAAACAGAGTAAGATGACAAAGAGGTAATCAGTTATTAGTACCAGATAAAAGACCTGATATTAATCCTCCTGCCACTGTGAAGCAAAGCATTTCAAAACCTGCCCTATCATCACATCTTACATCTTTTATGTTCCTATTTTCCACACCTACATTGCCTTTTTACTTGTTGCTTACAGACTACTTAATGCAGAAATGTCTATGTGGCTTAAAATAAGAACAGAATCACAGAAAACTAAAAGTTGTAAGCAGAACTTATAACTGACAGCTAATACAGTGGTCCTCTACTCTGGCTGAGACACATTTCAAACCAAGTAAATCAAGAATTTTCAAGGTTGGAGATACATTTATATTTTGAGAGTTCTGCTGGTGATTGAAACTACTATGGTAATAATAAGGAGTATCTATAAAAAAAAAAAAAAAAGGCCGGACATGGTGGCTCACATCTGTAATCCTAGCACTCTGGGAGGTGGAGATGGGAGGATCACTCAAGGTCAGAAGTTTAAGACCAGCCTTAGCAAGAGCGAGACTCCTATCTCTACTAAAACTAGAAAGAAATTATTTGGAAAACTAAAAATATATATATAAAAAATTAGCCGGGCATGGTGGTGCATGCCTGTAGTCCCAGCTACTTGGGAGGCTGAGGCAGGAGGACTGCTAGAGCCCAGGAGTTTGAGGTTGCTGTGAGCTAGGCTGACACCATGGTACTCTAGCCCAGGCAACAGAGTGAGACTCTATATCAAAATAAATAAATAAATAAATAAGGAGGAGTAAAAACTAGTAAGTGACAGAAACAATAAATATTTCATGGGTTTCATTTTTTAAAACAACTCTTTTGTAAGGCTGATAATTTTCTTCATTTAGGATACTATGTTTATTCACTATATAAAGATTGGAGGAGGCAAAAAAACAAACCAAAGATACAACAACAAGGCATCACTTACACTCCATAAATTCAGACATATGTCTCTCCAAGTAAGTACGAGCTGATTGGGAACGGGCTCCAATGGACATAGCTCGGCAGTCGAAGTAGTTAGCAGATGGACAGGTTTGGAAAATGTGAGGACCCATATCCTACACATAGAAAAAAACCACACCACATAATTCTTGACTTTGATTGAGCTAAAAATTAAAAAAACTTCTAGTCAGTTTTTAAAAATCATGAAAATATAACAATACTCTATGAACTTACATCATAACCAGCAATAAGCAGCCCAACACCATACGGTCTCCGGCCATATCGTTGTGTTGGTATCTGGGTCTCTTAACCTGGTTAAAGAACTTGTTCTAACAAGGAATAAGGTATAATCTTTATTTTCAAATTAAACATTATTAACAAAGGTCTCTGGTTGCTTCCTTGTTACCTAATCCACCAGAGGAAAAGGAAAATAAAATAGGACAGAATTTCCTTGGCCTAATGTTACAAAATGTTTGACTTTCTACCAAGCCCAAGAATGAGTGCTAGCAAAATCATCTCATTCCATGTAGAACCTCATTTGTTTTCGATATAAGGGGTCCAGGACTTTTGGGGACATCCAGAACCAATAAGAAATTTTAAATCCCGTCTAAAAATGATGCATTTTAAAAATGAATAATTCTCCTGAAATTGGGCTTATCTATGCCTGAAAAGTATCAATTGCTTATAAGGGCTAATGAAAGAGCAACCCAATTCCTTAAAGTTATTACAGCCTGGCTGGGTATGGTGGCTCATACCTGTAATTCCAGCACTTTGGGAGGCTAAGGCAGGAGAACTGCTTGAGGCCAGACATTCAAGACCAGCCAGGGCAACAGAGTCTCTACCAAAAATTAAAAAATTAGCTGGGCATGGTGATGTGTGTGCCTATAGTCCCAGCTACTCAGGAGGCTGAGGCAGGATGAGTGTTTGAGCCCAGGAATTTGAAGTTGCAAAAAAAAAAAAAAAAAAAGGTTTCATAATTTTACTTACATTCCTTTTAAATTCATACTCATAAATGCTAACATAAAAAGGATACTGCTTCCGATTAGAGAGACAAGACGAGACACAGGAAGTGGTCTGTCAAATACAAATCTGGAATCCAAACACTCCTGGCGCATAAAATTACTAAAAAAGAAACAAGAAAAATAGTAATTTCAATAGACAGCTATTCTAATATAAATAAAAAAGTTTGATTTCACTTTGCTTTCTTCCAAACATTTACATGGATTACATCTATATAAAGAAATCAGAAAGGTAAGAAAGACAAGGCCATAATGATGCATTTTTATGTCAGACTCTGGGGCCACATGAGGTTTGTAAAAAAGACTAAAACATTCCATAGCTCTAGAAAATTTTTGTCTCAGAGCACTTATAGAATAGAGAAGAGAAGGCTGAACAAGGGGAAAAGAGCAATCTCTTCTTCTCTTATCCTTCCTTCCGTCAGTAAGTTTATCTTAACTCTAGGTCTTGAACCAGCAAAAAGAGTACCTACTCTGTTGTTTTTTTTTCCCCTCTTGAAAACAGACTAAAATTTCCCCAATAAAGCAAGTGCAAAAAATAGACTATAGCAAAGGACATCTTTACATGTTCTTCCCAATGTTACTTCTATTCGTAAGCAGCACTCTAGAGGAGATACTGGACACTAACTGCTGAGTCTCACTGTTAAATCTAATAAAATCAAGCAAGGTTAACACTGGGAAAAAGGGAATCATGTCTATTAAAGAGGATAAATAAGAAATGAATATGTTCCATTTTTTCCATATTTCTTTGCCCACTATATGTGTATGTCACATTTAATGATCAAATGTTGCCAGCAGGAACCAAACTATTTCTTCAGTATGTTGACTTAAGTCCATTTCCTAAGGCTAAAAATGCACTGCACAACATGGCAGGCAATACTCACATGTAGCTATTGAGCCCTTGAAAAGTAGCTAGACTGAACCCAGATATACTGTAAGCACAAAATACACATCAAATTTCAAAGATTTAGTACCTGCCAAAATGTACAACATCTCATTAATAAAGGTTTTATATTGAACACATGCTGTAAAGTTAATATTTTAGATTGGATTAAATAAAAGTTTGAAAATATAACACATCTCACGTGTTTAAGAGTAGATAGAAACCCATAACGCTGTCACTATACTGCTGACTTAAGAGAGCAAGGGACTGGCACGATAACTGGAAAATCTTAAAACAATGGCATTACTATGTCCTTTCCTAGTCCTGTCCTGTCTCTAGTCGTAGACTAGAGACAGAGTCTAGCTCTGTTGCCTGGGCTAGAGTGTCGTGGCGTCAGCCTAACTGACAGCAACCTCAAACTCCTGGGCTTAAATGATCTTCCTGCCTCAGCTTCCCAAGTGGCTGAACTACAGGCATGCACCACCACACCTGGCTAATTTTTTTTTATACTTTTAGTTGCCTAGCTAATTTTTTTCCATTTTTAGTAGAGATGGGGTCTCACTCTTGCTCAGGCTGGTCTCAAACTCCTGACCTCAAGCAATCCCCCTGCCTCGGCCTTCCAGAGTGCTAGGATTACAGGTGTGAGCCACTGTGCCTGGCCCGAATATCTCCTTTAGTGTTTATATTCTTTCTTCCCTAATCACAAAACAAATTTAAAGATTAGCTTGGGCTAACTACCTTCCACCTCCAACACACATACATACTATCTGAAAAACACTAAAGTTCCTTTAAGACAAGATCCATGTCTGAGTCACCTTTATATACCCCGCAGTATCCAGTATTGAGCATTGCAAAAAATAAATGTCTAATACATACTGATGTATAAAGAAAGCAAATGTGGTTCGGCTCATCCTTAGAAACCAGACAGAAGTATCAAGCTCTTCTTAGACACAACATGGTTTCAAATAATGTGTGTTGCATTAGCAAGTATGACATTATTCAGTGACTTCTCAAAAGTGTTACTATTAAGGCTGGTGAGGTGGCTCATTCCTATAGTCCCAGCTCTTTGGGAGGCTGAGGTGAGAGGATCACTTGAAACCAGAAGTTGGAGACCAGCCTGCAAACAAAGTAAGACCCCATCTCTACAGAAAATAACAAAATTAACCAGGCATACTGCTGCGTGCCTATAATCCCAGCTACTTGAGAGGCTGAGGTGGGAGGATGGCTTGGGCCCAGGAATTCAAAGTTACAGTGAGCTATGATTACACTACTGTACTCCAGCCTGGGTAACAGAGTGAGACTTTGTCTCAAAAAAAAAAAAAAAGTTTAACTCTATAAATTACTATGACAGGGATCAAAAAATGGAATATTTAGCAACTAACTCAAACCCACTTTCAGGTATTCACAATCTTTAACTTATAAACATTCTGGCAGACAACTTCCTAAAATATCTTACCTGGATCTTTCCTAGAAAAGTAATTAATTATGAGTCAAAAGGGATGTTTCTTTTGTTTCTCATGATCATACTCACCACAACAGTCTAGCATCAGCAGTAAGCCCCGCAATTGAGATACCAATATGGTTGTCAACATGGAGAATTTTTTTCTGATGAGCTGCAAGCTCTGACTGTGCCCTCTAAATAGAGACATTATAAGACATAAAAATAAGTTTATAACTTTATTATCTACATGGTGAAATTTACACTGGGTAGTTCTGTTTTCTAAAGGAGAAAGATACATATATTGCTTTACTTACTTTCAAAGCTACCAACACTGCATGGGTTTTTGACTTCAGACCAACTGTGGCTGAACCTTGTTTAACAGCTTCCATTGCATATTCAATTTGATGAATCCTGCCCTAAAGAGAAAAACAACACATCTTAGAGTCATCTTAGAAGACTCTTTTATAAATTAAAAATTAATTTAGATTGTTCAACCTCAGGTGAGTATAGTTAAATCTCAAATATTTTTTAAAACCAGGAAACCTTTATAAAATTAAGTTTTATTGTATCTATTTAAGGTATACAACATGATGTTTTAAGAGATATATATACACATATGTGTGTGTATATATATATATATACATATATTAAAATGGTTACTGTAATGGAAGAAGTGAACATATCTATCACTTCACATAGTTACCCATTTTTCCCCTCTGTGGCAAGAGCAGCTATAATCTACTCATTTGGCAAAAATTCTAAATACAATATACTACCTATATTATTAACTAAAGTTAATGCTGTACATTAGATCTTTCTACTTGTTCATCCCACACATTTGCTACTTTTAACCATTGACCTACATCTCCTCAATTCCTCCTCTCCCTTGCCACGCCCATCCTGGTAACCACTATTTTATTCTCTAAATATTTGACCTTTGTTTTATAAAAATTCCATATATGACTAAAAGCAGCCAATATTTTTCTTTCTGTTTCTGGTTTATTTCACTTAGTCTAATGTCCTCTAGGTCCATTAGGAAATTCATTTTAATTATAAGTTTCATTTTCAGGAATGTCTAAAATAATTGTATTCCCTTTTCTCCCAGCCTATGATCTCATGAATTTCTAAACATATTACAGCCACAAAAAGTCACTTCATAAAAATGATATAAAATATTATTTTACCTGAGGGCTCCAAACAGTAACATCATTGTCATACTGGTTGCGAAACTGAAAGTAAAAGAAAAAAAGATCTATTAATATAAAAACATTACAAATCCCAACTCTTAATATTCATTAAGAAATGTGCTAGTACCTTGCCACTATCAGAATGGCCATTATTAAAAAATCAAAAAACAATAGATGTTAGCATGGATGCAGTGACAAAGGAAAGCTTATACACTGTTGGTGGGACTGTAAACTAGTATAGCCTCTACAGAAAATAGTATGGAGACTGCTCAAAAAACTAAAAGTAAACCAGTCGACCCAGCAATCCCACTACTGGGTATCTACCCAAAGGAAAAGAAGTTATTAAATTATCAAAAAGACACCTGCACCTGAATGTTTATTGCACAATTCAAAATTACAAAGATATGGAATCAATCTAAGTGCTCGTCAACTGATGAGTGAATAATGTGGTATACATATACCATGGAGTACTAGTCAGTCATAAAAAGAAATGAAATAATGTCTTTTGCAGCAACTTGGATGGAGACCATTATCCTAAGTATCTCAGGAATGGAAAAAAAATACCACATGTTCTCCTCAGAGTATATATGATCATAAAGTGGTATAATGGACATTGAAAACTAAAAATGGAGGAAGGGGGAGGGGGATGAGGAATAAAAATCTACCTGTTGGTTACAACGTACACTAATTCTGGCAATGGGCACACTAAAAGCCCTGACTTCAGCATTATACAATTCACTCATGTAACAAAAACAGTTGTATCCTCTTAATATTTTTTTTGGGGGGGGGGGAAGAAATGTGCTTGCATGTGTTTCTATTCAATGTTAAAACAATACTGTTCATGCAATCTCACTTAAAGATTACTACTGTACTCAGTTGTCAATTCTACATTTACCATGAGCTGGTGGGGAGGAAGAAGCAGATTTAAATAGGTTCTATCTTTCCAACTTCCTATTCTTTTACCCTCCATAGCACCCCCTTTGGGCTCAGTCAACTCAAGTTCATAGTCAAGTTTCCTTCCTATTTTTCTTATGCTGTTCCCTTATACCAGGCCCTAATGAAAAGTCAAAGCCTTCCTTTTTTTAAATTAGCTCAAATGTCTGTCTCTTCAAGTCTCCTTTCTCTCCAAATCCCTCCAACACATACAGTTCTTTATCTAAATGTCCCTTTCTATCTCTGTTATGATTAGGGATTTGTCTGATTTATCTTTGAACCCTCAGTGTACTTATACCTGTACAAGCACTTTGTGTGTTTTAATATTTATATTGAATGAATAAAACCAAAATACCCTCAGGAAGTTAAAGGTACATACAAATAGCTACACCGATATAACCATTACTGCTATAATGACCGTATTAAAACAAATCTATCAATACTTGGGAGAATAATCATGGGGGTGAAACTGAGTGCTGGCATGGCAAACATAGGATTGGAAGCCCAGAGCCCTCCATTGTAACCTCGATTCCATCACTTCTCTCAGCCTCGGTTTACTTTTCTGTAACCAGGTGACTGGACAAAGTGATTGAAAAGAGCCTTTTCTAATTGAGCTCTCGGGGAGAGAGAAATCAGACAAACCCACCAGGAAAACGGACTCTGGAACACAAACCTTGGGGTTAAGTCCGCACTTATAAGCGGCATAAGTAGGCCTTCAAGTTAATTCCCTGTCTTCTGCTCTCCCACACAAAACACGAGGGGCCACGCTGGACCGCTCAGAATCTCCTCCAATGAAGGGACCTGAGAGGTGAACTCGGCTAGTTGGCCGAGGAGGAAGTGTCCCAGGCCCCGCAGAAAGAGAAACTCAGTCGCGGTGGAAATGCCGCACCGACTACCGACTGTCCCTCGCCGGGACAGGCCAGAGATGCTGAATCACTGCCGGAGACCTCCCGTCGGCTGAGCCTAGCATGCCCTGTAGCCCCGTGGCCCCGGGCCACGCTAAAAATGGCAGGAAAGGTGACTTGCCATCCCCCAAACATTGGACTTGTGCCTTAAACCTTCCAGGGATTCGGGATCCAACGTACCATGGTTCCGGCGCGGGCCTGGCTGCACCCTCCTGCAAAGCTACGAATCAGGCAGCGCTGCCGACACTATTGCTCGGCGATCTACAGGGAAGTCTGCGGGGTTTTGACGACGGCGGCGCAGGGTAGTGCAGTCTATCACAGAGACATCGATAGGCGTCTAACTCTTCCCCGCCTTCAAAATTCCTAGCCCGTTCGGAGGTGGGCGGGGCTTCGGAAGATAGGAACTGAGGTTGGCGGGAAACCCAGGGCCTGTAGTGCCAGCGCTGCTGAGAGCTGCAGGGCCGCCCCCATCAAGTCGCCCTTTTTGGATTCTCAGCAAACTTTCGTGTGTGTTGCAGATTCCCTCCAGTTTCTCACCCGCCCGGTGGGCTGCACCTGAAATCACTGGAGACGACAGCCGTAACTCCGTGTGATCCAGGCTCAACCTCTTATTCACTGTCCATAGAGATTTGGGATCTTGTGTGACAAAAAAACGAGGCTGCAGAAAAGGCCACAAAATAATGGACCATTTGTGTGTGCCAGCCACACCCTTCCTCGAGCATCTTGTTTGTGTGCATACTTTTCTTCCTACTTTGGAATCCTCTTCCTTACTCCCTTGGAGATCTCATCTTTCAAGGTTCTGTTGTCATTGACCACCCATTTTTATTATTACTGGTTTCCTCCATCAGACTTCGAACTCCATGTAGGCACCTTCTGTACCCTCAACACCAAGCAAGATACCTGATAGATTAGATCACTGAGGAAAAATGGACATTTTCTTCCAAATTACATAAATCTCCAAATGAAATAGCCAACCTAACATCTACCGACTACTAATTTTCTTTATAAAGAAGAAAGGATGAGTACCTAGACTCAGGTAAGAGCTGAAAGGGTCCTTAAGGATCTGAGCTTTGCAGGTGAAGTAACTGACTCACATCACTTAATAGACTGTTTTCTCGTTTCTCCAGCACCTAGCACAATACCTGGCACATATTAACGGCTTAATATTGCTGAATGAATAATGAATGTTGAATGATTAAATGCTCATTTAAAAATTGTCATATAGTACGTAAACATTTTGACAATTCTTTTCCATAGTCTTTTCCTCACTAGTCACATGCCTCACACAAAAATATAATAAATACATAATTAAAAAATAAGATATACATTTAAAAATTTATGGCCATCTTATCATATCCGTAAGTAATAGTTTCTGTTATTTTCAATTGTTGCATAGTATTCCAATGTGTGGAAATACAATAATTTACTTGATTATTGGTGGACAATTAGATTATTTCCAAGTTTTTGGCATTCTGGAAATACTATAATGAATATTCTTGCACATACACACCTGATTACCTCCTTATGAGGAATTCATAGAAGTAGAATTGTGGAATCAAAGGGAAACGCTTTTACAATTATAAATATGGCTAAATTGCAAAAAAATATTTATTTATTTATTTATTTATTTTTGAGGCAGAGTCTCACTTTATTGCCCGGGCTAGAGTGCCATAGGGTCAGCCTAGCTTACAGCGACCTCAAACTCCTGGGCTCAAGCAATCCTCCTGCCTCAGCCTCCCAAGTAGCTGGGACTACAGGCATGTGCCACCATACTCAGCTAATTTTTTCTATATATTTTAGTTGGCCAATTAATTTCTTTCTATTTTTTAGTAGAGATGGGAGTCTCACTCTTGCTCAGGCTGGTTTTGAACTCCTGTCCTTGAGGGATCCTCTCGAGTTGGCCTCCAAGAGTGCTAGGATTATAGACGTGAGCCACCTGGGGGGGGGGCTGGTTTATATTTACAGTGCCTGAGAGTCAGCTTTCTTTATACTGTTACCAACACTGGGTATTGTAAGTACTTTTTACCTTTATCAAGTGGATAGGCAGAAAAAGAAAAAAAACTCTTTTATTTTATTTGTATTTCTTGATTATTAGTAAAAAATATTTTTATGTATTTTTGGCTGTTTATGTTACCTTAGTGAATTCTCACTTCATTCCTTTCCTCAATCTATTATTGTGTTAATCATTTTCTCTTTGACTTGTAGGAACTTGCTGCAATTAGGGATGGTAACCTCTTAATACTTCATTACTTTTATAGAAGGAGTCTTTTGCATACAAAGAAAAGGAACCACTGAATCTAGCTCAAGTAAAAGTTGGGGGTGGAGTGCAGATACAGAAAATATATAAAGGCACCACAAACATCCAAGGATATGACTTTTTTACTTTTTTTATTTACTGAAGTATTTTTAGTCTCTGCAACAAAATCTGGCCTATACTAGGGACTCACTAAACATTCGTTGAATGCATGAATGAAGGAATGAATGATAGATCTATCACGCCAAATCTGTCCTTTTCATTATTACTTCCTAAGCAAATGGGTCTTTGTGATATTATATCCTTTATTCGCAGTAATTGGCTGGACTCTTCAGCCAATTGTCAAAATGTTTATGTTTATCAAAGCTCCACATTGTCAAAATATTTGTTTATCAAAGCTCTACTTGTAGACCAAGAGAAGGGACATTTGGTTGGCCTTTTTTACCAAAACTGAAGAACCTAAACGACTTTCAGCTCCTCTCTGCATATTTTGGTGATTTGACTCCAGAAGCATCTTGATCATTAAGCAGGAGCTGAAAAATTGATCAATAAAGATATTTTGTAGGAAGACTGGGTCAGCAAACACATCATTACTTCTCTAAAGGTCATGGATAAGTTATGTCAGACTTTTTAAAAGAATCAGATAAAAGTAAATTCTAAATAAAAGCCAAGTTGGAATTGGTTTTCATGGACATGTAAATCTCATTGTGTCATTATGTTTAGCAACTGTAGGTGGTGCATTGAACAACTGAAAATATAGGGTGCAATTTGCAAATACTTAATTCCCCCCACATGTTAAAACACACCTGGTGGAATTAATTCCTCTAGGCTCCTTGAACATGGTAGGTACAAATCTCATGACTTTTCTGGTCACTCAAGTAAAAAAAGTCAACTTGTCAATTAAACAGCCTTATATCAGTAATTAATATGTCCAGTGTAATAATAAACATTTTAGGAGTGAAGCTTTTTGCTTCCCCCAGTTTGAGCCTGCCATGACAAAGGGGAAAATGGCTGACTACCTTTCTATGTCCCTGTCTAAAATTTCTGTCCTAATGCCCCCTCCCATCACCACCACCAACTAGATTGCCTTCCTTCTTTCAAGTTGAAACAGAGAAAGGGGCAAGAAAGTTCTTGACTTGGCTACTACAGTTCTGTGATTAAGAGTGGTATTCTTTGAGCTTGTCAGGTGTCTACTGTTGACGCTATTTTATGGGTTCTTTGAAAACACCTCCATTCTCACCTTACTCCAGTGAGAAAATATTGGTAATCTCCCAGTTGTGCTTGGGTAAATATATCTCATCTGGCTATCTGGCTCAATGTTAATTGCGAGCATGTGTGAGTACACCGCCAGTCTCTTTCTGTTGAAATCTCCTCATCCTTCCATGTGACACTCTTTAGTAGCCTTTGTCTGATTCAAAGAAATATCTACAACACCTGCTGTGACTCCAAGAGTGCAGACATTGACCAAATTCAATACTCATTTTTGCAGTTAGTCGACATTTCCTGTTTTCTGGATTCTGCTAAAATGTTAGCTCCATGAAGACAGGGATATTTTGTCTGTTTTGTTCACTCCCTGCTATATTTGCCTGTGCATATACTTAACAAGTGCTATATAAATAATGAATGAATTCTTCAGGTACTAGTAGTCTACTGTGATCCTCAAACCCACAGTTCTAGGGGTCATATATCAAAGTTTCATTAAAGCCTCTTTCCCTAGGTACAAGGTGAGGAAAAAGCAATGTCCACTTACAGCACACCAAAAACTGTCAAAATCTTCTAAACTCCAGCCTTTTTCTGAGATAGAAGTAGGTGGACAGTTAAGGAGTAACCCTCCCCCTTTTTTTTTCTATTTCTACTTTTTATGGTTTTCCCCTTTACTATAGAATATGAGAATAGTTTGCATTTTACTTTCTTGGAACCTCAACCAAAACTGAGAGTTTAACATCCAACTGCACACATATGATGCTTAATTGAACTTATTTACATGTTGTCCCCATATATTAAATCATAAGCCACTGGAGGACAGGGACTGTGTAATATTTCCCTTCATATATGCATTAAATGTGTCAGACAAACTAGGTGATCAATACAGTTTAATTAAAAGAGTGGATGAATAAAAAGTATTAATAGTCATAGTAATAATTTCAAATATATTACATAGTACCAAAGATTGAAGTCCAAAACTTTATGTTTCTAGTACTCTTCTAGTAGAAGTTTTTAAGTTTGGAAATATTTATAACAAAATTTTGGAATTGCTTACACTTTAACATCACTGTGCTAGATAGTCTCTGTTGTCCCAGTAGATTTACTTTATGCTTTATGGATTACATCAGTAAGATCTCTTCCTCTCTAGCTCCTGATTTGGCTCAGCCAATGGAAGACACTGGTAGATCAGAAGGGAATAGGAGAAAGATGTCAGAATATTTATTACCTTTCCTCCCTCCATTTTGGCCACAGATTGGCAGTGATACCACGTCATTCCTTGCTGTTTCCTTGTCCACATTCTGAGTATGATTACACTCTCTTTAGTAACCCCTTTTGAGTGTTCAAGACCTTGACTGGTAACAATACAATGTAAAAATTTTTACAGGGTGCAGGAGGCATACAATACTTTTTTTATGTGAAAAAACTTGTTTTCTTGAGGTCAAGTTTATATTATACTTTCAGGAATGTTAATATCAGTAGATATGAAACAGCTGGAAAGTAGAACCTAAGTTTATTATATATATGTCCTTCCCTGTTGTCTATTTGCTCAAATATATAAGGGGGAAAACCAGCTTATAGTTAGTGTTATAATTTTTTTCTGATTAAAAAAAGAATAGACATTTATGATTTTTTAAAAATAGATAATATGATAAATTGTTATAATCTTCTGGGTAGAGAAAATTACTTAAAATTTTAATGAATTTTGTTCTTCTAATAATATTCATGCAGGGAAGGGAGAAAAATCCTGTGACTATATTTTCCAATATGTATAATGTACAT